AGTGGGAGGCTGCAGGTGATCTTTCTAGGTCTCATTTTCCTCATCCATATAATGGGGATAACAACCTCCTTCCATGAGTTGTAAGAATTTGGTGAGATAATATAAGGGGGGAAAATGTCGACCCTTGGGCAGCTACCGCTGATGCTGTTGGTGGTGGTGTTATCACTGGTTTAGGATCAGCAAGGTTACCTGGGCAGCAAGAGGCCTCATTTGGTGGGGAAAAACCCTACAATCCTATGTGGGTGACACTAATATGTGGGCAGGTGGCCCCTCTTGCTCAAGATGGTAACCATGCCAACAGGGTGAAAGCCATCTCTCCAGAATAATACCACATCTCCTCTGTCGTATGTCCCTTGGTGTCCAGACTTCTCAGGGACCTCAGAGTGTCCCAGAGTACCCGAGGGAAAAAAAAAACAGGACGTGCCTTTTCTGGGTCACCTATTCACTCAGCTCTGGTGGCGGGTTCTGGCATTGCTTTGAAAATCCAGTTCTGCAGGAGGAACAGTTGTTACCCCTGGCTCAGGGTGGGATGCAGCAAGGAATTATTCATTCTATGGTCATGATGGCTGGTGCCTCCCATGTGTCGCCACCGTGCAGGTGAGGAATATACGTGCTCTTGCCGATCCCCAACCCAAAGAAATAGGTGTGGTTAGTCCTGTTTTAGGGACTTGCCCAAAGGTACTCAGCTGGTAACTAGCAGGGTAGAATTTGAAACTAAGTGCAGATCCTTGGGGCACCTGGGTGGCTCAGTCGTTAAGCATCTGCCTTCGGCTCAGGTCATGATCCCAGGGTCCTGGGATCGAGCCCCGCATCGGGCTCCCTGCTCCGCGGGAAGCCTGCTTCTCCCTCTGCCACTCCCCCTGCTTGTGTTCCCCTCTCGCTCTGTCTCTCTCTGTCAAATAAATAAATAAAATCTTTAAAAAAAAGAAACTAAGTGCAGATCCTTCTTCCCCATCACACCACTCACATGTCCTCAGGTAGCCAGGGGCAGATTGCTCTGTTCCCAAAGCAAGAGACCCTGTACCGGACGAAGATGCGGCAGACGTGGCCTCTGCACTGAGGATTTGCTCTGAGCTCCGGGCAACATGGTGTGTTTGGCCCTCATGGTTAGTCCTCTTGACCTGGTTCAGGGGGTCTCTCTGGAGTTGTTCAAAGAGAACAACTTTATTGGTGGGACTTAGAGCCCTGGGAGTAAATGTCCCGTCCAAGGCAGCTGTCCTGGGCTTTACTTGTAAGACTTGAGTTAGCAGCCCTTTCTGAAGGGTGAAAATGGGTGCTGGTCAGAGTGTGTAACCTCTAGGTAGGGAGGCTTGTGTATACTTTTTACAATCTGAATGATCCTGGAAGGGAGTCACACCTTCTCAGCTAACACCAAAAGGCAGTGTTGGGCCATCAGGTTTGGGAGTCGGACAGACCTGAGTTCAAATTCTGACTCTGCTGATTACCAGCTGTGACTATTCAAATCATGGAACACTGAAATTTATTTTTTATTACGTTCAGTTAGCCAACATATAGTACCTCATTAGTTTTTGATGTAGTGTTCAACGATTCATTAGTTGCGTGTAACACCCAAAATCATGGAACATTTTTGAGCCAGTTTTCCCATCTATAAGATGGGAATGGAAATTGTACCTACCTTACAGGGGGGAATCTTGAGGGAAAAAAATATACCCATTTCTGCAAAGCTCCTTGCCCAGAGCTGGGAATGGGGCATATGTTCCCTCAAGAGTGGGTGTGGATGGAGTCGCCCAGGACAGAACAGAGTGAGGAAAGCGGAGGGCCTGGGGCAGAACCCCAGTATTTCAGGGTAGGCTGAGAAGACAAGCCCACGCAGGAGACCAGAGAAGGGGAGCAGTGGGGCAGCAGAGGGAAGCCAGGAGGGTGCAGCGTCATGGAGGCTTAGAGGACAGCCTGTCTAGGCAGGGAGAGCAGTTGTGCCCAGGGTGGTCAAGGGGGCTAGGAAGGTGAGAACTATGAAATGACCTTGGACTGGCAACAGGTGGCTACTTGCTAGTGGCCACAGTGAGAGCCGTCTAGGTGAAGGACTAGGGGCAGACAGACCCAGAGTACACTGGACTGAGAGGTGGGTGGGGGGTGAGGAAGTGGAGACAGTGAACTTTGGTGAGAAGACAAGAAAAGCTTCATGGGAGAACCCAAGTGTCCCCCATTGACATTTTTTAGAATTAGAATGCCCTATTCTACCTAATTTTCACTGTTTTGAAATCAGTCTGAGTCCAGCATGATCAGAAAAGCTGGAAGGCCTCTAATCTCTCTAAAAGCTGGAAGGAAACATAGAAATCTCCCAGCGCTGGCTCTCCTCCCACCTCTCACTGGAACGCCATTTTCATGGGGGGGGACAATTAATTATCATCTATCATGCTCTTTAAAGATATCCACCAGGGGAAAGATCAGCCTAGTTTGTTAACCTCAATTCCATTTGTAGTTAGCAAAGGTGACTCTTCAAAGCATGGTGAAAACTTGTGGTGGGGGCCTCTGCTCAGACTCACACTGAAATCCTGTTTCATGGGTACTGAGGTCTTCATTTTGGTGTCACAGCAGGGAGAAGAAGGCCCAGAGACAGGAGACCTAGTATGGAGACCCCAGCTCTGCTCGCTCACTGTGCAAACTGGGGCTAGCCTCTCTTCCTCAGACCTCAGTTTCTCCTTATATGGGATAAAGGGTTGGATGACAGTGACTCTAAATGTCCTACCAGCTTGGACATTTCAGGATTTCTATTCTACGGTGCATTTAATAGTCCTTTGAGTCCAATTGCTAGATGGTAAAACTAGGGTCCAGTCCCTCACTTCTCCCTTCAAATACATCGTACTCTCCAGACCAATATTCTTGGCTTGAAATGGGACTTCCACACCTCTTCTGGTTCCCAATTACCTAAGGATAATAACTCAAATCTTCAGGTTGGCATTTAAAACACTCCATTATCTTGTTTTGCCCAACCTCATTTCCCCACTGCCAGGCCTTTCTTCTCATTGTCTCTCAGATTTTGTTTCTGTCCTCACTGCTAAGCCTTTGTCTGTGCTGGACCCCACTCCCTAATACCTTTTCCCTGACTTTCATCTCCCTCAAAGTCCGGCTTACCTGCACTGGTGTATTTAGATCTAGCTTATGACAAGAGGATGTATCTTACTTATTCTATAGCTACTCTTTCCCCCAGTGCTGAGCATGCGATAAAATTCTCAGAGAGCCTAAGGTCCCTTCTCCTGTGCCACCCTTGGCGTGTTGTACTTAAGTGGGGCTATGTTTTAGTCATTGGGATTTTCCTAGTTTGTCCAAGGCCCAGCCCAGGGCCTAGCATGAGGGACCCTCAGCATAGAATGCAACAACAGGGATGGGCTTAGTGACCAGTCAGCCCATCCACCCCCCTCTTTGCCACAGAAGGAAGTTCAGCCTGGGTTTGAACTCAGATCCTGGCTCCACCAATTACCAGCTGTGTAACCCTGAGTAAGTCACTAATCTGGCTTTGAAAAATGGGGAGACCAGGTGTGCCCACCTGCGTGGTGGGCTGTGAGGACTAAATATGTTTATACCTATACAGGCCTAGCACTGGGCTGGCTCCTAGTAGATATGTCATGTTACTCATCCCATCCAGGCCATCCTGTCCCTCCTCTCATGGAAGGCACAGTATGCCCAAAGTCAACTGTCAAGGTGGGAGCACGGCTCTGCAGCCCGCTGGGTGTGAAACGTGTCTTTGGGAGTGGCAGGTGGGCGTCTGGACAAAGTCTAGACCCGATCCTGCCCTGGCCAGTACGGATCCAGAGGGTGCGTCCCCAAGGAGCCCATGGGCCAGCCAGCCTGGAGTCAAGGCTGGCGAGACGGCGGGGGCGGTCCCGGCCCGCCCCCCCCGGGCACACGGCCTCCTGGCTTTTCCAAACAGTAGGGTTATTTGATTTTTGGGTCCTTCTGCAGTCACACCTCCAACCTGGCCTCAGAGTCGCGCTTCAAAGAAGAGCTGTGCCACTGAGCTACCTACGCAACCGCCATCACCGCGCCCCCTCCTCGGGCTCCGCAGTCCCCACCCCCCTCTCCCTTCTCCCACCTCCACCTATGCGGCGGTAAAATGCAGCACTCACAGGGCGCCTGCGCAGTTCTCGGGCGGGGCGGCGGAGGCGGCGGCGGCGGCAGCTATTTATAGTAGGTGACGTCACCTTGAAATAGACCGTTAGGGCCGGCCCGCCCTTCCCCCCTCCCACTCCCGCCGCTCCCCGCCGCCAGGCCCGGCTGCTCCCACTGCGCAGGCGTCCTCCATCCTCCCATCCCCCCGCGCGGCCGCCTCTCCTCCCTCGGCGGCGTCGGCGGCGCGAGCCACAGCGTGCGGGGCGAGCCAGCGAGAGGGCGCGAGCGGCGGCGCTGCCTGCAGCCTGCAGCCTTGGGCCGGCCGGCGAGCCAGTGCGCGTGCGCGGCGGCGGCCTCCGCGGCGACCAGGGAGCGGACGCACGAGCTAGCGGGCGAGCGGTGCGGGCGCGAGGCGAGGCCGAGCCACGAGCGACATGGGGGACCGAGAGCAGCTGCTGCAGCGGGCGCGGCTGGCCGAGCAGGCGGAGCGCTACGACGACATGGCCTCCGCCATGAAGGCGGTGAGCGCGCCGGGAGGCCGGGTTGGCCGGCTGGGGGGGCCCGGCGTAGGGGAGGGATGGGCGGCCGGGCGGCATCTCCCTCCCGGCCCCGGGCGACCCCGCGACTTCGTTGGGCGCGGCCGCCCGCCGGCAGCCCGCGCTTCCCGCGCCCGCCCCGCCATTTCCTGCGGCCGGGCCGGGGTGGGGTCTCGGGGGAGGAATGCAGCCCCACGAGGAAGGGTGGGCGACAGTGGCCCCTTTCCGGCGGGCGGGGGTCGCCGTATCCCAGCTCGGAGCCCTGGGTGGGGGGGGAGGGGGCCCGAGGAAACGTGAGAGAGCCACATTCCTCGTTCTAGACCGTTCTGCCCAACGTGGGGGCTCGCCTCCCTCTCGCCTTCCTCCATACCCCAACTCGTAATAAAGAATCACCTAGTGAGTGGCGCTCTGTCTCTCCTGGTTTTCTCTGCCACCACCTGAAGTCTGTGTGATCCCGATCTGTTACGCTCTACTCGCCGGAATCGTTCTCGTTCCATCTTCCCACACCCGGGGCTGGCTTTGTGTGCGAAGACCCCCCACCCTGCAGTCTAGACGTGGACGCGAGCTGGAGGGCGGTGGGTGTGGGGCCCCACTCCCAGGTCTGATGCAGCGAGCATCTGCCTGGAGATTAAAATGAGACGTGACTTCTTGGCAAGACAGGGCTGTGTGCCTTTGCATTCCCGAGATCTTCGTAGATTGATTCTGCAACTTGATTTCCGGTGAAGGACTCGTGCCCGGCCACACCCTAGCGCATACCGTGGATTAGACACCACCTGCATATATGAGACTAAGAGTTCCGGTTATCCTCTTACTGTCCCTGTCTCTTTATTTTACCTTTTCTCTAAATGAACATTACTTCTCTGCGTCAAGGTCACACGGTGGTAGAGGTACAACTGACGGCCACCAGCCTGCTACGTTCAACCAGTGTACATCCTCCGGGAGATCTGGGAGGATCCGCCGGGGCCCCACCTTAGACCTAAAGATTCTGCAGCTCTAGGGTTGGGACTCAGAAATCTGCACCCTAATTTTGAGCGGGCTGAAGCCTGACAGTTACTGACCCGAATTATGGCTCATTTGTCCTTTTGCTGGCTTTGTGAGATTTCTTATAAATCCACAAATCGAGAGGCTCCCTAAAATTTCAGAATCATTTGAAGAGCTGCGTTTAAGGCTTTGGTATTAGTATCATATGAAATACGTTGCTGAGGTCAATATTTAGGATTTATCCAGCTAAGACAGACACTTGAAGAGATAGCTTTCCTGTGGTGTCCTTGTTTTAAAACATTGCACTAGGTGTGTTTAGAAACCAGCACTACCACTCATTTGTTGATAAAGGTGATCCTGATTTGAGCCCTGGCATGCTGTCACCGGTTAGTCTAAACCAGGGACAAGCTAGGTTTGGGATCTGAAGCCTTTGTAATTCAGGGGGCCCTCTTCAAGGACGCAAATGTAAAATATTAATTTTGCAAATTTTACAGAATCTACTGTGAATACATTTCCTCTGAAGGGGTTCTGAGCTTAATTTTCTTTGGGATAAGATCCACTTCTCTTCACACAGCAAGTCACACAGCAAGTCACACTTGAGTGAACGTCTTCTCCCCAATAATGGAGTGGCACTGGGATTGTGCAGGCTGAGGCCTCTAGACATTTTAGTGAGGCCTTCGTTCACCCTGTGAGTGGGGCTTGAATAAAGGTGAATTGAGGTTAAGGAAAGATGGCTAGAAAGGACATTCTGGAGCTCTGGGAAACCTGAGGCAACTTGAAATGGGAAGTAAGGAAAGGATTGAGAGATGTAACCGGAATGAAATACAGTTTGGGGAGAGAACAAAATTGGCTTTCTGGTCTTCATAAGCAGGCTTGAATAATGCTATCCTGTAGCTAGAAACTTGTGTTCACAGATTTTTTTCTGAGGCTTAAAGGTAGCATTTTGCAAAGTAATGGACCCTCCCCTGTGTTGAGAATCTGTAATATCTTATCTGAAATGATTGATGGGTTGGATAAGCCATTCAGCATTGAAAAATCAATCCAAGCTCCAATTATGTCATCTGAGAATTGTGATAAACCATTCCTTCAATGTAACTCATTTTAAAAAGTCAGAACTTTTTTTGTCATCTAAATTAATAGAATATATTAATTGGAAAGGACTTGGCAGGGTTCAGTGGGAGACAGTTTCTTAGTTTTACCTATTAAGTTGATATTTGTACATTAAATTCTTAATGTTATTGGGAAGACTCAGCCCCCATTTTATTAATATCATAGGCTTAAAGTTGAGCTTTTGGAAAAAAGGAATTCTGGTAACCTTTTTATGTGGGTTTTCTTCAGGGTGGTGGACAGGTAAGTAGACTGCTCTAGGGTGGACAGGGAAGCAACCTGAGTGAGATGTTCTGATATCACCACACTGTAACCTTGAACTTTAACATCTCTTGGCTTCGAGTCTTTTGAAGTGTAAAACTAGTAATGTTGGTGTTGCTATCAAGTCATTTTTCAGTCTTACTCTTCTAACTTGTTTTCTGTTTTCTTTATAATTTAAATGGTCACCTAATAATGCCTGCCTGTAATCATTGATGTTCCTTATGCTACCAGTGTCACCTGGAGGATGGTGTCGGTAAGCTTTAAGAAAAATCATGCATATTGGAAACAGTAGTGTTGCCTCAAATCATTTGAGAACTGCAGTTCCCTGCCTCACCCCATAATGTGAGGAGGCAAGAAATGCTTTTGAAGTGAACTAAAGGAGTGTCTTCAAGATCTCCTCATCTCATACCTAGCAGCTTGCAAAGAGTGAAACAGTGGGAAGAAGCATTGTGAAAGATTAAGAACCCAGGTCCTCTCTCTGCTGGGCTTGAAATGACCTTACGCAAACATAACCTCTGAAAAATGGGTATCATACCATCTTATAAGAAAGTGAAATAGGGGCGCCTGCGTGGCTCAGATGGTTAAGTGTCTGCGTTTGGCTCAGGTCATGATTCCAGGGTCCTGGGATCGAGCCCCACATTGGGCTCCCTGCTCAGCGGGGAGCCTGCTTCTCCCTCTCCCTCTGCCTCTCCCCTTGCTCATGCTCTCTCTCTCTCTCTCTCTGTATCTCTGTGTCTCAAATGATTAAATTAAAAAATGAAACCTATAAAGGGGGATAAAAATGTCAGTGCATTAGACTTAAGGGATTTAAAGAAAGAGGGTAAATAACCAGATTTCTGGTGAATACTCATGGGTGGACATCATTCATGTCTCTTACTGCCTTAAGTCATCTTTTTATATTAAAACATAGATTGTAATTAAATTTATAAAACATTAAAATTATTTGGGATAGCATGGTGTGTTTTAACATTGATACAGTTGATTACAAAGTTGACAGAGGACAGAAATACATCTGAAGGACTTGAAGAATATCTATAGAAATCTTGAGTGCAGGAAATAAAGCTGCAGCTTAAACAGTTTGAGAGGAAGAGGCACTTGGCCCAACCAGTGGCAAAAGGCTCTTACTCCAACAGCTGTGAGATTATGGGAAGTGGGGGAATGAGCAGGTGGTGTATAAAAGTGGAGAGCTCGACTGAGTTTCTCAGGGTGAGACCTAACCCGTGTTGCAGATATTAAAACTAAGGATGATTTTGAGGTGTACCAAAATTGTGGTTAGTGTGAAATCTCAAAGCCACATCAGTACTGTAGTTTGAAATATGTATAAACTAGAGAGTACTATTTCCCACTAAGTGGTCATTTTTTTTTTTTTTTAAAGATTTTATTTATTTGAGAGAGCGAGAATGAGAGAGAGTACATGAGAGGGGGGGAGGGTCAGAGGGAGAAGCAGCCTCCCCGCCGAGCAGGGAGCCCGGATGCGGGACTGGATCCCGGGACTCCAGGATCATGACCTGAGCCGAAGGCAGTCGCTCAATCAACTGAGCCACCCAGGCGCCCTAAGTGGTCATTTGTAACGTAAGTATTGCTTTGCCATGTATTGGCTGAGGAAAGAAAGAAGGTTCTCGATTCTTGCAATAGCCTGAATTAAAAGGACTTCAATTGGTGAACAGTTCACAGAGCTTTGAATTTCATATTAGTGGTAGAACGCAGTGTCACACTTCCAGATATGGTTTGGAAGGAGATACCCCAAATGTGGTTTTTTTTTTTTTTAAAGATTTTATTTATTCATAAGAGACAGAGAGGCAGAGGGAGAAGCAGGCTCCCCGCCGAGCAGGGAGCCCGATGCGGGACTCGATCCCAGGACCCTGGGATCATGACCTGAGCCGAAGGCAGACGCTTAACCATCTGAGCCACCCAGGCGCCCCCAAATGTGTTTTCTATGTTACAATTTATCAAGTTTATGGAACTTACATTTTACTTACTAGGCATTCAGTAAATGGTAGTTGGTACTCCCATGTGTACATTCTCATTTAATTTTCATAACAACTTTGGATGGACTGACTATGGATAATTGTTAACTTCGTTTTACAAATGAGATTTAAAGAGGCTAGTTTTCTCGAGGTCAGGTTGTAAAGCCAAGACCTGAACTCTTGAATTTAGAACTCTCACTATAACCACTGTATAATAATGGCCCATGAGGCTAAGGCATAATATACATAAATTTTTTAAAGTTTTATTTATTAGAAAGAGCGTGTGAGAGAGGCTGAGTGGGGTGGGGTGGGGAGAGGGAGAAGCAGGCTCCCTGCCAAGCAGGGAGCCCGTTGAGGGGGTCCATCCCAGGACCCCAGGATCACGAAAGGGATAGTATTTCTAGTATACGTTCTGGCATTAGTCATTGTTGGTGACTAACTTGCGGGCCCTTTACACAAGTGGGCTTAGTGAACAAGTAATTTCATCTATCAGATGTAAGTCATTTTTGCCAAGTTTGATTAAAAACAGAATCTGCCATGTATGGTTCTTAGCTATAGCAGGGGAGTGTAGAAGGCAGACTCACACATTTGGATTTGCTTGTTCTGAAGACCAGGAGTTTCGTTTAGCTTAAGAAGTAAAGTATTAATTGAATTTGAATTCCTGCTATGAATTAAGAAGTGCAGAACTATGTTAAATTATATTCATGGTATTTTAAGAAATTGTTTCATATCTTTGGCACCAGTTGTTTTCACACATTTTTTTTTAGTCTATTTTATAAGCCGATAGGCCCTAACATTTCATTGTCTGGGTTATTGGTAAAATTCCTTCCAGCGTCCAAGTAGAGGACACCCGTCTGCTGCCCCACCGTTCGGGTGCTCTTCCCACTCCTCGCTGCAGTGGCTTTCCCGTTGTGGTGGTGGGTGGTGGCACTTCCCTGCGATCGGAACCTGGCACAGCTTCTGAGGCTTTCAGTGTTGGTGCCTCCAGGGACAGTAGCGTGCAGTAATGCCATTCAGATGGGTTGTATTTAATCCCTGCCAATCCCTACAGAAATGTTCAGTTATGTCAAGAGTAAGAAAAGGCAGTCTCTCCATGATAACAAAGGTGGCTGTTTTGACTAATGTTAAGCTTTGAGTGGATATTAACTACCTGAACTCATCGGCTCTAAGCTTGAAGTTTAGCTTCTCTTTGGCTTTCTAGAACTGCAGCCTTGCCCTAGTGAGGACAGGGAGTGGTCTATCCAGGCCTGGGCAAGTGGTGACAGATGGGTACTTTGCCATCTTGGGACCAGGCAGAATCTTCACTCGGAGGGTAGTAAATTGGGGAAGAGTCAGCCAAAAAATCTTTCATACCCTG